ATAGTGTTTCAGGATAGATGTCATTTCTACATCCAACCAGCTACCACGCCTCACTAACTGCAGCTGAGGGCGCGCTCAGGCCAAGGGCAAAAACACGTTTTAACCACGGCGCTAAATCATGTTAAACTAATTGTGGGTGTAACTCGACCTTCTGAATTATACAGCCAATAAGTGCTTTGTGCACTCTGTGGAAAAGCCTCATCAAACACAGAAACCAGATGGATAAAACTTTACAAACAAGAACTAATGATTCAAAATGTTGCTACGATTTTCAAACTTTTGTTACATAACTGGAATGACACAAACGCTTAATAATGTGGGCCCTAAAGGCAGCAATGCAACACGTGAGAAGGATGGATTTGCAATTATGATTTGAAATGATTGAATTCTTAATCATTAAAACAATCTGCACACATTAAATATGGAACCACTAAAACAGCATCTTTGTGAAAGTATCAAGTAAACTAGATTATGTTTATATATATATATATGTACACATACACTACCGTTCAAACGTTTGGGGTCACCCAAACAATTTTGTGTTTTCCATGAAAAGTCACACTTATTCACCACCATACGTTGTGAAATGAATAGAAAATAGAGTCAAGACATTGACAAGGTTAGATATAATGATTGTATTTGAAATAATCTTTTTTACATCAAACTTTGCTTTCGTCAAAGAATCCTCCATTTGCAGCAATTACAGCATTGCAGACCTTTGGCATTCTAGCTGTTAATTTGTTGAGTTAATCTGGAGAAATTGCACCCCACGCTTCTAGAAGCAGCTCCCTCAAGGTGGATTGGTTGGATGGGCACTTCTTGCGCACCACATGGTCAAGCTGCTCCCACAACAGCTCAATGGGGTTCAGATCTGGTGAGTGCGCTGGCCACTCCATTACCGATAGAATACCAGCTGCCTGCTTCTTCTCTAAATAGTTCTTGTACAATTTGGAGGTGTGTTTTGGGTCATTGTCCTGATGTAGGATGAAATTGGCTCCAATCGCTGTCCACTGGGTATGGCATGGCGTTGCAAAATTGATTATTCAGAATCCCTTTTACCCTGCACAAATCTCCCACCTTACCAGCACCAAAGAAACCCCAGAGCATCACATTACCTCCACCATGCTTAACAGATGGCGTCAGGCATTCCTCCAGCATCTTTTCAGTTGTTCTGCGTCTCACAAACGTTCTTCTTTGTGATCCAAACACCTCAAACTTGGATTAATCCGTCCACAACACTTTTTTTTCAGTCTTCCTCTGTCCAATGTCTGTTCTTTTGCCCATCTTAGTCTTTTTCTTTTATTGGCCAGTCTCAGATATGGCTTTTTCTTTGCTAATCTGCCCTAAAGCCCAGCATCCCGCAGCCGCCTCTTCACTGTAGATGTTGACACTGGTGTTTTCTGGGTACTATTTAATGAAGATGCCAGTTGAGGACCTGTAAGGCGTCTGTTTCTCAAACTAGAGACTCTAATGTACTTATCTTCTTGCGCAGTTGTGCAGCGCAGCCTCCCACTTCTTATTCTACTCTGGTTAGAGCCTGTTTGTGCTGTCCTCTGAAGGGAGTAGTACACACCGTTGTAGGAAATCTTCAATTTCTTAGCAATTTCTCGCATGGAATAGTCTTCATTTCTAAGAACAAGAATAGACGGTCGAGTTTCAGATGAAAGTTTTCTTTTTCTGGCCATTTTGAGCGTTTAATTGACCCCACAAATGTGATGCTCCAGAAACTCAATCTGCTCAAAGGAAGGTCAGTTTTGTAGCTTCTTTAACGAGCTAAACTGTTTTCAGATGTGTGAATATGATAGCACAAGGGTTTTTCTAATCATCAATTAGCCTTCTGAGCCAATGAGCAAACACAGTGTACCATTAGAACACCGGAGTGATAGTTGCTGGAAATGGGCCTCTATACACCTACAGTTCATATTGCATCAAAAACCAGACATTTGCAGCGCGAATAGTCATTTACCAAATTAGCAATGTATTGAGTGTATTTCTTTAAAGTTAAGACTAGTTTAATGTTATCTTCATTGAAAAGTACAGTGCTTTTCCTTCAAAAGTTTGGGGTCACATTGAAATGTCCTTATTTTTGAACGGTAGTGTATACTGTACAAACAGGATACACACATTCACATGTTACTACTTGTAATTGTTGTAATTGCACTTTCACCTCAACCCCTTAGGCAATTTATTCTTACATGTGAGACCTACTCTAAAAGGAGACAGATTTGGTCCAAACTTGTCAACCGCCATAGTTTTATTTACTGATTGCACAACTGAATCTGAACAAAAACAGCCCAGTAACATAACCATTCATAAAGCTTTCTCACGACAAGCTTGACTTGTTGAAACAGGGCACCCTCATGAATGGTGTGGTGCAAATGTGGGCAGAGATCCAGTATGGTGCGGCTGCACGGGGTTAAGAGACCAGAGACCAGAGAGGCCAGAAAACAGAGGCCAGAGGGTTAGGGGCCAGAGAGATCAGAGACCATGGACCCGAGCAGAGTCCAGAAAGACCAGACACTAGGAACCAGAAAAATCAGGGACCGGAGTGACCAGTGAACAAAGACCAGAAAGTCAGTCAATACCAAAGACCAGAGAGACTAGAGAAGAGACCAGAAACTAGAGAGGGACCAGAGAAAAGATAGACTAGAGAGAACAGAAAGACAACACAGACCAGAGACCATTCACTTTCTCAAACAAGACAAGTGAAGAGTCTGTCGGCCAAGAAGTGAATCTATTCTTCATATTCATGTGAGGCTCAGTCACATGTCATCTAAGCACACACTGGACTGCACAAATAATGACTATATAGATGTGTCCTAAAGTATATGATCTATGTAATATTTTTGTGTGTGTGTGTGTGTGTGTGTGTGTGTACATTTTCTTTGAACTAGTATCGCCAATTTTGCTATTTTTCAATTTTATCAGTAGAACAAAGTATAGTAGCCAAATATGAATATGTTAATGTTAAAGGACGATAAAGATTATTTACACAGAACTTTTGAAGCGTACTTTAAAGTGATATACTTTGGTAACAGCTAATTCACAGGAATATAAACTGGTATAAAGTCAAGTTCAGTAGTAGTGGTGCTGTGGTCTGTGGTGTGGTATGAACCCAGCACAGTTGAACAAAGTGCAGTGCATAGTTGGGCTCAGAGTGGAGAATTTCAGATTTCACAGGTCAAAGCTTTAGAGGCATGCCTCTCCAACAGGGATCAGGGCTGGGATTAGGGCAGAAAAATCCAACACAAAATTTGGTAAGCTTTGAGCTCTGCAAAGGGGGCAAGAAAAACAAATACCTTCACAACAGTAAGCGAAGACAACACAGGACCTTTGACTTAAAGCTGGGATACATAAACTTTTCATGAATAACATGTTTGTCCCAAAAGAATGTTTCCCAAGAGTACAATGTTGTACAAATATAATACAAAATATAAGAACTGCTGTTCTCGTCTGATTAGAAAACATGTTTTTGTTTGTATGCTCGTAAGAAAGACTACTTTTTCGAGTTGATACTTAGTTATTTAAAATAAATGTGTATTGTAAATCTCAGTTGTGTATATTGAACTCGAAATAAAAACATTTCATTCATTCATTCATTCAAAGAGCTCGGTGTGTCAGAGCCAAGGCCCGGGCTGCAAAAGTAAAAAAGTACTTTTAATATTAATATTTTAGTTAATAGTTTTTATACGTCACTACAGTTTAGGAAGATTCATTTTGTCTTCTTAGTAGATTAATTATTTGGTGATCCTATACCAGACAAATGTACCTTGGCGCCACCTGCATGTGATGGCCACAGTGGGGCAACTGCGGTCACACTGCCTAGAATGAGTCTGGTGTATGTGTGAATGGTTGGTGCTGGTCAGAGGGGCTGATGGCACATACTGGTTGCCTCGCTACTGTCAGTCTGCCCCAGGACAGTTGTGGCTACAGTAGTAGTTTATCACCACTGTCTTTGGAGTGAAAGAATAATAAAAGGTGCAGCGTCTGAGAGTCCAAAAAAAGCGCTGTATGAAACCACATTATTATTATAGAGATGTTATCACTGTGACATGTTTCAACGGCAAACATTCATCTTCCTCAAATACTTCTGAGGAAGACGGAAGTACGTCGTTGAAACATGTCGCTATTGCCATCTTATATTTGTCCTGTATCAAACCAAATCACTTAAACTACAGCCATAAGTTTTAACGCAGATTTCAAAATTCCAAAAGCATCACCAGGTATGTATGCTTTTTAAAGCTGAGGAACCCAACTGCCTTTCTCATAAATATTCCATGCTATTTCTCCCAACAGAAAGTCTGTGTAAGTCTGCTGTAAACAAATCAGACCAGAACAGCTGTCATCTTGTTGCATACCTAAAGCTGAGAGCTTCTTGGCAAAGTGAGATTGGTCCTTCCCTATTTCATAATTTTAACTGTAAAAGCTGATCTAAGGAAGTGACAGGTCAAAAATACGTGAAAACTAGTGATAAAAGTAACTGAACTAGTGGATTGCATTATATAGTTCCATTGTTCTGGTTTGAAAGTAAGTTAGCAATGTTTATTTATATAGCACATGTTACAGACCAAGGTAAACCAAAGCGCTTTACAATGTTCAGAGTTCAGATATTTATTCCATTCACACATGGTGATGACAAAAGCGAGACGCCAAACACAGCAGCGCATCAAAGCCCCAAAGAACCTTCATTCAATCACTCATTACATTCATACCCACCCATTGTACATGTTGTTAGTGGTAGGGGAAACCGGAGGCACAGGGAGAACATGTAAACTCCACTCAGAAAGGCCCTATTCCGACCAGGATTCAAACCCAGGACCTTCTTGCTGAGAAGCGAGTGCTATCCACTTAGCCATCGTCAAAGCTACGTAACCCAGCTTTATAAACTATGTGAGTAAACAGTCCTTAGAAAAGTGGAAACCCTATCGTGAGGCTTGTAATTTGAAAACAAAAACAAAAAATGGATAGACCCCTCAATAGATATTAAACAGCAGTTGTACCTTCAGAAATGGCATGGGGTTTGACAATGCAGCAGGTGGAGTCGGTGAGGACGGCTGTGTTCGGAGGGCCATGGCCGACTGTGGATGGGAAGAAAAACTCAAGTTCCTGAAATGAGAAAAGAAACCCGTCAGCCGCTTTGAAGCAGAGAAAAAGCTCTTAGAAATGTGTGTGGTCTGTAAGTTGGGTATCCGGCTGAGTCGACAAAAAGGCAAAGCAATGATTGTATTGACTTTATTCACTAATGAAGCCAGTTGAAGTTGTCCCTTTTCCAAGTATATTTGTGTGTTGGTAAAAGTGATGTCCAACAAAAAACCCTGTGAGTCACTATTTAATGACTCACAGGTGGTTCTCTCTTTGTAACTTCTCTCTCTGATCTGAAGATGTGACAGAGGCCAACTATTCTAATGGTCATATAGATTCAGATTCAGATTCAGTTTAATTGCCATTTGCAGTAAAAAAAACCACATTGGAATACATTAGCAAAAGTCTCCAGTGTGCACAGACAAATACAGACATACAACAACATTAAAAGACAAAAATAAAACAAAACAATAAACAAATGTCACTGTGAAATCGATCGACTAAAACAGTTTCAAAACAAGTGCAAATCATTAAAGTGCTCTGTTCACACTAATAACAGCTTGTGGATAAAAACTGTTAGCGTAACGAGATTTCCTGCATCTCAGAGAGCGATATCTTCTGCCAGAGGGAAGAAGCTGGAACATGGCTTTCCCAGGGTGGCCAGAAGAGTCATTGACAATCCTAAGAGCTTTGTTTAAAAGTCTGGATTTATAAAGAACCTCCAGAACAGGAAGCTCAGAGCCCACGGTCCTTTTTGCAGAGCGGAGCACCTTGTTTAAAGCTCTCTTTTCTTTATCTGTGATGTTTCCAAACCACACAGACATAGAACCAACAAGTAAACTCTCAATGGTGCAGCGATAAAAGTTCAGCAGAATCTTAGAGTTAGTGGTAAATTCTCTAAGTTTACGCAGAAAGTAGAGACGCTGACGAGCTTTCTTAACGACCCGGTCAGTGTTTTTAACCCATTTCAGGTCGTTAGACCTGAAATGGGTTAAAAATGAACACATATGAACACATATGATCTTACATACCTACCACACCCTCTCCAGAGATCACATCACCCTCATTCTGAAACAGCTACACTGTTTCCCTGTCCCATACCGCATAAAATATAAGGTCCTCCTCATCACCTACAAGTCCCTCCATAACCCCCTCATGTCTCACAACCTCTTCCACTCAGATCCACCGACTCCAACCCCCTCACTCCCAGTAAAACAAAGTGCAGAACCTTGAGGGCCGAGCCTTCTGAACCCTGAGGACCGAGCCCTCTGAACACTGAGGACAGAGCCTTCTGAACCTTGAGGACAGAGCCTTCTGAACCTTGAGGACCAAGCCTTCTGAACCCTGAGGACCTAGCCTTCTGACTCCTGAGGACCGAGCCTTCTGAACCTGAGGACCGAGCCTTCTGAACCCTGAGGACCGAGCCTTCTGAACCTGAGGACCGAGCCTTCTGAACCCTGAGGACCAAGCCTTCTGAACCCTGAGGACCAAGCCTTCTGAACCCTGAGGACCGAGCCTTCTGAACCCTGAGGACCGAGCCTTCTGAACCCTGAGGACCGAGCCTTCTGAACCCTGAGGACCGAGCCTTCTGAACCTGAGGACCGAGCCTTCGCTGCAGCGGCCCCCACTCTCTGGAACTCCCTCTCACAGTCAGGTCTTGTGTTTATGATCTAAGACTACTTTATGTTAGCAAGGCAGAGGGCCACATAAAATGACACAGAGGGCCACAAATTTACAGTTTGATTGGATTTAATAATGATAAAACTCTTCGTGCTGCATTGGTTTTTTGAAAAAGATCTGAGCGTGTTATGCTTTGAGGGGAATTCTTGGGCCTATGATTTAATGACTGATGGACCGGTGCGCCGTCTTACATAATGAGCCACTAAAACGCTCTACAAAGCAAAGGTTTAACTTTAATAGGATAAGTAAATGGGGTCATGTGGGCGCTGAAGTAAGAGAGACAGAGGTGGAATACATTAACTATATTACCAAATTCTAGTCTTTGATTCGGCACTAAAAGTGTTTGAATCAGCTAAAGAAACTCAAAGAGATCTGACTTGATATTAGACAAAGAGCATATTAATAAGAAATGATCTCTTGTTTTGTTTGAGGATAGATAATGAAAGAAGATGAGAAAGAACAATCACTAATGTCCTAATCATCTTCTATGTGGTCACTGTGAAGACTGAAAACAAGATATTTCTAGATGTGGAAAAAGTAGCATTGGGGGGAAAAAGTATTTAGTCAGAAACCAATTGTGCAAGATGAGGAAGGCCTGTAATTTTTATCATAGGTTTACCTCAACTATAAGAGGCAGAAAGATTTTTCAGCTGCCCTCCACCACAATGTCAAATTCAAGGCTCTTTGAAATGTTGTGATGTCACATGAATGTAACCTATTGAAAAACACATTCTTGATTTCAGTAGATTAAGTTAAATTAAGTTATCCACCCTAAGAATGGGATCATTGTCCTTTTAAGGGCAAACAGATGTACTGTCTTCTTGTTAAAAGTCGAATTATCTTTTGACTTTGTTCCATTAGTAGATATTTTTCCTTCGATCAATGTTCTCCATATCAATTGTGCTCAAAACAAGTTCATAGGTTACTCACACGATTGATTTGAACTTGCCTTCATGTCTGAAGGGCATTTCAATAGGTTTCAGGAGATTGAAAAAAATCAAAAGTTATATATATTGAGTGTGTTCACAGTAAAGTGACAATTGAAGTATCTGGACTTTAAAAGGTTATAACTTAAAAACTAAAATTACTTTCATAGATTGGAAAAAAGATTTCAAACACAGACACATTGAAGAGATAGTGTGGAAAAAATCAAAAGGAAAGATTGACATAAAAATGTTTAGCAACATTTTAAACGACCAAATGAGCCTCTGATTGGACCATTCTACTGTGACGCCAGTTACATAGAAAATAAAATGTCCTCAGTCTGAAAAAGCAGAAGATGAAATCCCACAAGATTTACATGGTTACCACAACAGAAGGAAATCACTTGATATAAAAAGGAATCGTTAAAAAATAAAAAATAATTAATTAATTAAATGACCCCTGAAAAATGTATAACGGACGTGATGAGGACGGTCCTCTTTTCTCTAAAAATTAAACTTGAGAAGAAAAAAAATCTGGTCTGTTTTCACATTTAATTGCTTGACAATATGAAAGTATCACTTTGCATCTACTTTGTGTAAAAAAATAGAATCTCTGAATCAATTGTGGACATCTGAAAATACCTATCAAACTTCCACAAAGCTCATTCCGTCAAATCATCACGTCCGTTAGATAAAATAAACAGGGCCGCTATAGGAAACTTGTCTAATGTATAAAACAGTTATGTTCTAGCAACTTCTAATGGACAGAGGAGGTGCTTGGAAACATGAAAAACATAAAATATCTTCTGATTATTAAAATCTAATTTTTGGCCTTTTGTCACACTTTTGTGCCCTTTAGTGTGAACAAGCCCATTTACGTGTTATAATGTTCAGCACTGTATTACTTATTTACTTACTTTGTCAAGGGCTAATTTCTCTATCCTTCTGAAAAGTTGAAACATGAATATTGAGCTGTAACATGTTTTACCAAATTAGTTGTCCCACAAAGCTGGAGTACCAAATTTTATGTTCACGAATAACACTTGCTGTCTGGAAGAAATGTCTAACTTTTAACTCATTCACTGCCCATGACGACAAAAGTCGTTCTATTGTATAGTGACGCTCACTGCCCAAGACGACTTAGACGACTTTTTCGTGTTATTACACGGGAGGCTGCAGTAATGTCTGGCGCACCTTGTTAATGACCCACAACACTGATATATAGTGCAAATGTACCTGTAATGATAAATCACCACCAGTAGGATGCAGTATTGCACCACAGGAGAGGTCATAAGTCAGTGGAGAGAAGGAGGAGGAGTGTGGGATCTTTGGACAGCGTGCTGCTGTAGCAGAGCGTGCTTCTGTAGCAGAGCGTGCGAGCATTGAGACAGATCAGCGATCTAGTTTAGCGATAGTATAGTAAGAGTGATGGCGAAAAAGAATAGTTATAAGCAGTATACACTGCTTCAGGGATTGACTCGCGGATCAGTGAGTGAGGTCGAGAGGGGAGAGAGCGGAGACCCCGGTGGAGGTCCGTCTCTGCAGCCACATTTGCGCGGAGCAAGAGCCCCGAGCAGAGACACGCCCTCCGCCTCTCTCAGCGTATCAGCTGCTGCTGTTACTGATGCCTCAGATTCGTTCAGCAAACCTGATCATGATTTATCGGACACACTCACAAACACTCACACGCACTCACTCACTCACTCACTCACACAGACACTCACTCGCACACTGACATTCACACACACACACTCAAATTCACATGCTTCATTCTATTTTATACATCTATAGTTTTATTGATCTTTGTGTTGTTGTTGTTTGACGTTTTGGTTGATGGTATAGAAGAAAGTTAAATTTTCTATCTGTGAATAAATTGCCAACAATTTGCCATCAAAAGTATTATTTCAGAGTCATGTTTTTATAATTTTTGTAATGGAACAAGTGTGGAGATGTTTTGAGTTGTCACTAAAGCAGCAAAAATGCATCTAAAAGTCTCTTTTCTGCTTGATATGTTCCTGTTTACATACAGCTCCTTTTCTCTGTTTTCTTGCTCAGACCAGGTGTTATGGGTGAAAGTATGCTTTGTTCTATGGCGAATAACGCAAGAACGGTAAGAGGTAGAAACAAACTGTTTTTTTCAGAGTAAAGCAGAGAGGTGAATCTTTAATTTGGTGCCCTTGGTGTTTACATCGTCTAAAAAATGAATATTCTGTGGCACTTCAAAGTTGGGTCAAATCACCTGAAATTGCTGGCAGAATGCACTTCTCAAATCTGAAAATGCCTGGCAGTCGGTGAGTTAATTAGAAAATATAGCA